CTCCAGGCTCTGTCGGAAGTTACTGAGTTGCCCAATTAAGTTTCTGAGGGAGGCGTGGAAACCACTGCAGCCACCTGGAAGAGGTGGCAGGAAGGCTGTAGGGGCCGTTGAGGGCTGGTAGCTCTGAGGTGCTACCTGGGTTGTGGACGGGTGCTCAGTGGGCTGTGGGCACACAGAGGGCAGTGATAAGGCCGCGCTTTGGGAAGTCTCAGATTAAGGAGGAAGTAGAAACATACTGCAGGCTCATTCTGATAAGAGAATTCAACAAACTTTGTGGGCAAGAAACCTGCTTTAAAATTGATTCTCTTCAGCTTGAGAGAGAAAAGGAAAACTGATATATGTGTCTATAAGGTTTGAGAAGTTTTCAACCAGCTGAACAAGCATTTTAAGTCAAAGTGACTATTTGTAATGTTAACATTTCCTTCAGATTTTCGTTCAAAACTCAAATATCAGAGGCCCTGTTTAATCTGAGACAATAATGGTTGGGAGGAGAACTTGTAAAAAAGTAAATACATGCTGTGGGCTTATTTGTTTATCTAATGATATTTAATCAAAGTAACAAAGCCCTTTTTTGTTAAAGGGGTGGGTATTTAGTATTAGGAAGGGAGCTCTTACTAAGTAACCTTACTTGCCAAGCTAATAGCCAATTATACTGTGATCCCTTAAGATCCAGGAGACCAGGCTCTTGATTCATGTGTCAACTTCCGGATGCAGCCGAGCCTCACCTGCCTAGTTCTGTTTTTCTTGCCCCCATGTCCACACTCTTAAGACTAGCAGAAGGATGGATCAGGCATGTGATAGGTGTTTCGATCATTCCGTCTTATGTTTTATAGCATTTCTTAAAGTACTTAATTTTTCAAAAGTACTACTCTGTGTATGTTATTGCTGGTGTGTGTGGTGTGTGTGTGTATACACCCTGGTGTGCATGTGAACTCGATAAAACTGTGAGCCTAAAAAATCTCCCTGACAGATTTCACCAGTAATTGCTTCTACAGTTAAGATATGGCTAATAAGAAAAAGTTAGTATTAAAACACATGCTATAATTCAGTGTTTCCTTTGTTTATTGTGAGTTTCTATATGCCTTAAAAGTAAAGCGTTCCCTAAGAGGAATTTTAAATTGAAGACCAGGGCATAAGGGTGTATGTGGGTGTGTGTTTCTGTGATAAGTCCAGACATGGCCTCCTGGATCTTAGAGTTCTTTAAACTCTAAAAGCTTAGAGACTGACTAATAAGTGTTTTAATGCAGTTGTGTTTCCTTTGGAAAGATATATATCAGAAATCTCCAGAGCCGCCAGAACTTAAGCTTCAACTCTCTGACCCCATGTAAGTTTAGACCAGGTTAGGGATGGGCAACCTGTCACCCAGTAACTGAAGTAGTTGCTGATGATATTTTTATGTCTCTCCAGCATTCATTTTGTTTTCCTTGACTATTTCCATTTCCCGTTATTTCCATCTGCCTTTAAAAAGTGTTTCCTTTTAGGGCCCGCCAAGTGGCTCAGTTGGTTAAGAGCGTGCTCAAGAGTGTGAGCTCTGAGCAACGGGGTCGCCGGTTCAATTCCCAGCCTGAGCTAAGCTGCCGCTGAGCTGACAACAGGGGACAGGATGGCTCAGATAAAAAAAAAGTGGTTGTTTTTTTTTTTGTTGTTTTTGTTTTTCAGTAAATAAGTGAGTAGCTACTAAAGAGTGTAGTGAAATGGAGGCAGTTGGGCTGCCCCGTGGACATATTCAGAAAATTGTGTGTTAGGTATTTGGTAGCCCAAGAATGTGGAATTGTTCGAGTTTTGTTTCTTTTCTTTTTTTTTTAAAGGTACTCTTTTGAGAATGTCAGCAGGTTCTTTTCTGTTCCTGGAGCCTGCGTCCATGAAAGTCAGCAATACCTGCTGTGTTGGGGAATGCATCAGCTGTCATTGGGATGTGCTTAACCTGTTTCATTTTAATTTACGAACATTTTTCAAATGCCAGGTCCTGTGCTGGAGGCTAAGTGTACAGGGAGAAAAGGTTCAGCGCCTCATTTAGGGAGTGGGCTCCCAAATCCCCGTCAGGTTGTCTCAGCCCTTGGACCCATTTGTCTTTAATCTTTCCTCAGGTTTCTACCTTAGAACCTGCCTCTTTGCTCCAGTGATTTAAAAATGACTTGTGCTCATTTTCACATTTTCTTTTTACATTCCCATGCCCATTTACTTCCTCCTTTTAAAATAATTGCACCAACTTATCTGTCCCGTTTTTTGATCATGTCTGAATCTACAACCTTCAGAAGTAACTCGTGCTTGGAGAATCTTCCATCCATCACCTCCCCAGGGAGCCTCATAGCTCTTATTCCAGCAGTTTATTGCTAAAAACGACTCTCTGCATTGGTGGTGGTGGTGGCACCGTGTGATTTATGGTCCATGTGCTTTCCTTGGATTGACACACACTTCCCTTCCCTACCACTGTGGTGGGGAAATCAGTTAGGAAATTGAGTTGAATTGGAAACTGAGCCCAAATTATCTACTCCAAATAATTAATTTGGAAAAAGAAAGCTGGATTCCACACCAACCATTCTCAGACTTGCATCGTCTTGCTCACAGGGAGGATTGGGGAAGGGGCACCTAATTGGCCTAGCTTGGGTCATGTTATCACCGCAGCTTGATAAAGGGAGGTGATTGGCCTACATTCAGCTCGTTGTCTGTCTGTGGGCATGTGGTCAGTGGTGACTATATACTCTCGGACTCTAAGTCCCTTGAAGGAAAGGTTCCTAGTATGGATCTATCCTATGCTGTATCCAGCACGTCTGAACCTCTGATCATGCAAAGCATTGAAGGGGCTTGAGTTCAAATTTCAAATCTTTTTATTTCTGTATTTCCGTTTCCTTTGTTCATAAGGATCAGGTATATTGATGGCGAGTCATCGTCGTCTTGCTAGGAATTAATCACACACTGACTGAGAAAGAACTTGCAGGAATTTGTGAAGGGGGGTCACTGAGGCCCTGATTTAGCTTAATATTTTGGAGAGTGTGTGTGTATATGTGTGTGTCAGAAGCGTGTAGGGGTGATAGAGAAGAAAACTGCAATAAATATTAAACCTTTAGAAACAATTTTTAAAAGATCATAGGGCTGAGGGGCCAAAAAGCTTTGGATGAGCGTGTGTGAGATAACCTTTGTACTGTTTGGTTAACGAGTCTAGAAAATGAGAACCAGCCTTTGGAAACTGGGCTTTGTTATTTCAAGAATCTGCTTTGTCAAGTTCTTTATTTCTCATCTTTAACATTATTTGAACATTGGCTTAGATAAATGTTGGCCCATTAGACTTTGCCTAATTTGCTGTTCTTTTCAATGAGGAAGATATTCTAAACCCTGAAAGTTCCCTCTTGGAAAAAATGTTGTTCCCAACTGAGTTTTCATTCATCCCATCACTCGGTCATTTCTTTCCCATCTGTGGGAAAGAATACAAAGCTGGATCGACTTCGAAGCCTCGGGCTTCTTTATTAACCAGGAAGCCAAATAAACCGTTAAAATTAAAGTATAACAGCGTACATCTTAGGTTCTATTGTAGTCTTCCCATTACTAGCATTAAGTCTTAAAAATCTCAGGTAGTCATATGAGACAAGGCTGTGTATCTGTTTGTGTTCTTTATCTCAAGCAGCAGAAACCAACTCTCATTAGCTGAAGCAGAAGGAACTTTATTGGAAGGATATTAGGGATTCATAGAATTCATAAGGCCAAAGAACTAGGCTTGGGATAGACAGAAAACGAGGAAACTGAAAGTCGAGGAACCAAGAACCACCTGAAGGTATTTGTAGTAGTTGCTGCCTGGGCAGGAAAATGGTGGCGTCAACCATTCTCAGCTTCCTGTCCGCCAGCTCAGAGGAAAATGGCAGGGAAGGAGCATCTAATTGGCCTAACTTGGGTCATGTTACCACACCTTGATAGAGGGAGGGTGGGGCCCTCCTGGTCTTATCCAAGAAAGGTCATTCTCCAAAAGGAAATTAGGATCAACTTATTGGAAGTTATGCTAAGCAGCCAAAAGCAACAGATGGCCACCAGAGGTAGTGGAAGGGATTGAATGACAGAAAAAGGCCAGTATTAGTTTTCCTTTGGTAAATAAAGGTTGGAAAAATGTGTGCATGTACTTTGGCTATGAGGTGTGCCTGTTTCTGTCCCTCTGTATACCCACCCACGTCCACCCCCTTCTTTCTCTTGCTTTGAATTTGGGCCCTAGAAGGGTAGTCCTGTCATGATGTTGATTTGTGCACGTGTGAGATACTAAATATATATGTCAGAGGTGCTGGTGGTGAAGCAGTTACACTTTGATCAGTTTCGAGAAATTTAATTTTTTAAGGCCCTGTTCCTTCACTACTGCAGTGTTTAGCATTTGCTCCGTGGCACTGTTTACTAGTTAACCTGCTCCCTTCCTAACTGCTCAATACTTGAGAATTTTGTGTTTTAAGTATGTTCATCAGTAGCCATACTTTCACCTTTTGGACTCTAGAAAAATAAATTCATACCCCAGTCTGATTTTAGTTGGTTGTTGAAGTTGATTTATGTATGTAGCACACAGTTACTAAATAAATATTGCTTAATCATTAGAGCTATAACTTTAGGGAATATAAAGTTACCCTGCTTGACCCTGTTATTGGAGAAAAGGCAGTAGACTCCTACACCTTTTTCTGGTATTCTCCATTTTAAAAGGAGAGTGAAGTCTTTTCAAAGGAAATGAATTTTAATATCCTGGTAGGGAGGGCACCTATCTTTTCACTTATCTCTGAATATTTAACAACATTTATAGCAGACCTTCTGTGTATAAGAAAAAAAAACAACGATGAAATGCAGTTTTTATCATATTAACTTTTAAATGATGATTTAATGACACTCGTATTTTAGTCCCTGTAAAGCTCTAAATTTCTGTAGATCTTACCGTCAACTTCTGAACTGTTCATCTAACGCTAACCAGAAACATACTGTATGTGTTGAGTGTTATTGGAGGTGGTGTGAAAAGTTGACCCAGTGTGTTTCTTTTCCAGCATCCGGTGCTTGACGAGCCCATAGCTGAAGCTGTCTGTATTATCGCAGACACCGATAAGTGGAGTGTGCAGGTGGCCACCAGTCAGAGGAAAGTGATGGACAACATGAAGCTAGGCCAGGAAGTCTTGGTGTCTAGTCAGGTGTCCAGTTTACTTCAGTCCATTCTACAGCTTTACAAGCTTCACCTCCCTGCTGATTTTGTAAGTATTTGTTCTCCTTTCACCAAAGAAATATAGTTAAAAAAAAACTTTTTTAATAATACTTTGATTATAAAAATCACAAGTTCACATGGACTATTTTTATAATAGTATAATGGGACATTAACATAAGTAATAATAGAATATTCAACATAAAACCAGCAAATGCAATAAATTTCAGTAACAATAGCTTTTCCATGAAACAAATAACACCCAGTGACACAAATCTTTCTGAACAAGGTATTTGTTAAAGGAAGTAAGGCATGGGAGTGGAAGTCAAGCCTAAAAGGAAACTTTAAATCCCCCTTTGGAGAACTCATGAATTCTCCTTTTATTAGATCGATATCAAACAAGCCAGTTGGTGAAGGGATTATAGATCCTTTTGTTCAGGGACTACCCTCAAACAGTCGTTAAAGATAAAATAGAATATTGTTTGTGCAAACCCTTGAAATTTTGAAGTACCATACCCATAGAACATGCTATCCGTGATTCCTTGTTAAATGGAGTTTTAAAAATCACTTTCATGACATTGTATTAACTATAAACAGCAGAGCCTATAAACACCTAGAAAATTATCAACAGCTCTCCCTCGGTTACTGAAATAATATACAAAACAAATCTTTTTTTCTTTTTTTTTTTTTAAGATTTTTTTTGGGGGGGGAATTGGGGGGATGGGAACAGTGCTGGGGAACTGGGGGAAGGGGAACAGACAAGTTG